ATTGGAATTTTAAAATTTAGTGAAATGACAAAAATGCCATTTATTTTTGTTTTTTATAAAAAAACTCAGCCCCTCACCGGCCGCCGGCTGCCACTACCCGGCCACTGGTGTGGTGGTTACCGGTGGAATTTTTTTGTAATAGTTTTTTTTTTGTATGGAAGAATATTGCAAGAAGTGGTAGGGGTGGGATTTGATCCCACAATCCCTTGGCCATTTGGGCCAACAAAATGATAGATGACCATTAAGCCATCAAAAACTTCTTAATTTTATAATGCAAACAAAAATATAAGTTGACTCTTTTACTGTGACTGCAGCCCGTTATAATAATTTACCTCAGGGTGACAAGTCTTAACCGAGAAATAACAAGTCTAAATTTGATATTAACAAAACAACTTTTCTTGATATATAACAAGAAGCAGCATGTACATTAATTAAAAATGACCATAATTTATTTGAAAATGACACGTATTTACTGGAAAATAACACGTCTAAACGTGAGATTAACAATATGCTTTTTTCTGATACATAATAAGCAGTAGCATGTACATTAATTAAAAATGACCATAATTTATTTGAAAATGATACGTCTTGTTATGTATCAGGAGAAGGCATATTGTTAATGCTACTTCTTGTTATGTATTAGAAGAAGACATATTGTTAATATCAAGTTTAGACTTGTCATTTTTCAGTAGAAGACATATTGTTATGCTACTTCTTGTTATGTATCAGGAGAAGACACATTGTTTGTTATGTATAAGGAGAAGACATATTGTTAATGCTACCTCTTGTTATATATCAGGAGAAGACACATTGTTTGTTATGTATCAGGAGAAGACATATTGTTAATGCTACTTTTTGTTATGTATTAGGAGAAGACATATTTTTAATCTCAAGTTTAGACTTGTCATTTTTCAGTAGAAGACATATTGTTAATGCTACTTCTTGTTATGTATCAGGAGAAGGCACATTGTTAATCTCAAGTTTAGATTTGTCATTTTTCAGTAAAAACGTGTCATTTTCAAATAAATTATGGTCATTTTTAATCAATGTACATGCTACTTCTTGTTATGTGTCAAAAAAAGGCATATTGTTAATCTCACGTTTAGACGTGTCATTTTCCAATAAAGACGTGTCATTTTCAAATAAATTGTCATTTTTAATTAATATACATGCTACTTCTTATTATGTATTAGGAAAAGTTACTTTGTTAATATTAAATTTAGACTTGTTATTTTTCAATTAAGACTTATCATCCTGAGGTAAATTCTCATCACAGGCTAGAGTCATAATAAAATAGTCAACTTATATTTTTGTTTGTATTATAAAATTAGGAAGTCTTTGATGGTCCAATGGTCATCTATTTTTTTGTTGGTCCAAATGGCCAAGGGGTTGTGGGATCAAATCCCACCCCCACCACTTCCTGCAATATTATCCCATGCAAAAAAAAAATTGTTACAAAAAAATTCCACCCGGCAGCCAGTTTTTTTGAAAAAAAGAAGATAAAAGGTATTTTTGTCATTTCACTGAATTTCAAAATTCCAATTTGGGAAGGACTTCCCTCTTTATCATTATATTTTCTTAGCTTCTCAAATTAGAATTTTAGATATTCCACCTTCTTTATTTGTCATTTTCCCATTAAAAATCCATCTTCTAAGGGCCTGTTTGGGTGACCCTCAAAACCATGGTTTGGGAGGCAAAACCATGATTTTGGTGAGATGTCACCCAAACAGCATTAATTTTGGGCCAATAATATGAAACCATGGTGATTTCAGGAAAAGTGAATTCATTCTGCTTCTGGCTCAAATTGGAGAGATGATTGTGCCTGTCAGAGTAGATCTCAACAATAATATGATTTTAACATTTCTCAATTATTTTTTTATAAACATATTTAACCTTATATCTTATAAACATATATACACATATTAGTTATTTATTAATTACATTATCTTATGTATTATTAATTATGTTGATAAAAAATATATTATTAACAATTTTATTCCTTCAAGTTAAAATATATCATAAAATTTATCTTTTATATAATTATCATATTAACTTATGTTTTTTTTAGTAATTTGTATATATAAAAAGTACTTCTGATAACAACTATCCAAACACTCTCACTTCTCAGAATCACTTTTTTACAAAATATATTATTCACAAAATCTATTCTTCCCAGAATCTATTCTCCAAAAGCTATTCTCCAAACCATGGTTTGGTTTCATCCAAAGGGTGACACCCCAAACCATGGTTTGGGGAATAAATCACCCAAACACCCACCCAAAAACCAAAACCATGATTTTGGAAAAAGCAAAATTTTTTTGCTTTTGGAGAAAAAAGGGAGAGTGTGAGAGCCTATAGGATACGTATCTTGTTATTTTTTTTATAAACATATTTTTTTATAAACATATTTAATCTTATATTTTATAAATATATATACATATTAATTATTTATTAATTATATTATCTTATGTATTATTAATTATGTTGGTAAAAAATATATTATTAACAATTTTATTCCTTCAAATTAAAATATATCATAAAATTTATTTTTTTTGTAATTATCATATTAACTTATGTCTTTTTTTTAGTAATTTGTATATATAAAAAGTGCTTCTGATAACAACTATCCAAACACTCTCACTTCTCAGAATCTATTCTCTCCAAAATCTATTCTCCAGAATCACTTTTTCAAATCACAGTTTGGTTTCATCCAAACACACCCTAAGTCCAACACGAGTAGTTTTTTTTTTTTGGCTGGGATAGTGCCCACCAACCACGTGACCTCTTTAAGGTATCTCCACTTTTGCTCCGGATAAGGCGGGCAAACAAAATTTAAAAAAAAGCATCTAGGGGCTCCAAATTCCAAAGACCACGTGTTAGTTATATTTGAGAATTAATCTGAAAATTTTTTCGAGTTATAGTTATTTTAACATTAATTAATTGAATATCTTAAAATATCTTGTTATCTTTACATGCGCATACAACTCATGAATGAACCAATTCAACAATAAATTAAACAAAAACATAAATTCATTAGCAACTATAGTTTGAAAATATTTTGTTACACACACACACCAAAGTGTTTAAAACCCCTTTTCTAGAACATCCAAAGGACTTTGAAAAAACTCTTTGGATTCTAATTAAAAAGCAAAATAAACTAACTTTATGGTTTCATGGACTGATAGTTAATTACTATTTCTGGTTCTAATTATAAAATTTTGTCTATAAACCACAAACGAGGTCTTATAATTAGAACCAGAGGTAGTAATATCATAAAATTGTAGAAAAACGTGCAATTTTTCAATTTCGTCTTTAATTAAAATCAATAATCATAATAAAGCATTGTTTAGGAATTAAATGCATAAGAATAATTTATTACAATTAAGATTAGGCAAGATTGGAACAAGAATTTAACCACCACATTTTTGCCCTATATTAAGTTTAAGTAGAAACTTAAAAATTTGCCATAAAACATTTGAGGGAGTATTGTTTTCGGAAAGTACTGGGCTTCAAAATCAGTAAAACATTAACAAAATTGAGATGATAAATTTCCAAAATAAATAATGGCCAATAATAACAAATAAGAAGCACTAAAGAATTTTTATTTATTTTATTTATATATTTTCGGAATATTCTCTACCAACAACAAAGAACTGTTCATTTTAATCTTTTTTGTAAGGTAATTGGATGAGATTTTTCTCATATATATGCGTGCGTGCGAGAGACATATTTATTAAATCTTTCTCATATTACTTTTATTTAATATTAGTTTATATTTTTCAAATTGGGTTTTTGGGCTTTTAAAGGATGGTTTTGATAAAGACAAAGACAGTGATTTTGTTAATTTTTAAACAAAATTAATGATTTTTAAGCTGATACATAAAATTTTATAACATAATCAAAATTAATTAATTGCATAACATATTCAAAATTTTGAAAACATATGTATTAAAATTATTTTTTAGTTGTATAAAAAAATTATTTTTTGACATATATAAATGTTTAAATTGTATGTTCTTATGTTAAGGAGGATATTTTGATCACAATAAAGTTAAGAGTCATAGTCTACGATGAAATAACAGTTGGATAGATGATAATAAAATTTTAAATATATAAGAAAGGATTATATAATATACATTTTAATTTTAAAGTGGGTTTATACACGTTTTTAAAATAAATGAGATATTTGTATAAGTTAGATAAAATAGACGGATAATTTGTGTATTTTATTCTAATAAATAATAATAAAAAACATGTTAATTACATTATAAGTAATTCAACTAGGAACCAATGACAATCAAACAAACTAACAAATAGAAATATGCATAGTGCGTATCACCAAAAAAACAAAAAAGAAATGTACATAGTGCGTGCTAGTGGTAGGCCTACCTATAAATAATCTGTCAACGTGCTTATTAACCTTTAGCTTTTGTCATTAATTAGCTTTTAGAAGTTACCATACGATGGTATAATTGGAGAGATTTAGTCAATAAAACAAATTAATTAATGAACTTTGAATAGGTGCCGACAAGAATTATCAACATTTAATATAAAATATGTAAAAGGAGTTACACTCTTAATATCTTAAGTACTGTGGTTAAGGCATTGTAGTGAAATAACACCAAACACCTTACTTAGGTGAGATTGAGTCAGAAGAAAAATCTCATCAGAGAGGGTATAATGAATTCACGAGTTATGACAAAACAAAATCTTCATGACTATGAAATAATTCAAGTCATTTTCTTTCAAGGTAAAGTACCGATAAATCTCAAGAAAAGGATAGTAATTAAAAATCTTAATGACAAGCCAAGAGTATTGGTCTTGCTATAATTTTTTACTCCAGAACTTGTAATTCACTTGATGTGGGACATTTTAATATAATTATGTTCTTTGTTTGAGACTTTACAGTAAATTTTCCGTTATTTTATCATCCGTTCAGGTAGACGACAAACTTCATTGGTGTATAAATAGCATGCTCGTTGCTTTCACAAGGCGCACAGTATACACTAACTCATCAACAAGATGGCTTCATCACTGTCCACTTTGGTTTTGTTGAGTTCATTTGTATTATTATCATATTTCCAAGCCTCTGAGGCACAAGCCCCTCCCCCTATAGTGAAGGGACTGTCTTGGACTTTCTACCAATCAAGCTGTCCCCAGCTTGAGTCTTTAGTCAGAAACCATCTTAGGAAGGTCTTTAAGAGGGACATCGGCCAGGCTGCCGGCATCGTCCGCATCTTCTTCCACGACTGCTTCGTTCAGGTCAGTATAACTTGTCTTAGACTCTACGTAAAACTAGCCAGACGGCCTAGCTATAACAAATATAGTCGCTATAATATCACGAAACCGTACTAGGAGAAGATTCTGTCAATGCTCTAATGCACACACCGGATATGACTGAGCTGTCTCGTAACGTTCTAAACCCAGCTCATGTACCGCTTTAATGGGTGAACAGCCCAACCCTTAGAATATACTATAGCCCCAGGTGGCGAAGACATCATTGAGAAAAAACAGTTAAAATACGGTTCGAATTATGCTTGAGAATACTGTAATTAGGCGTAGAATGAATGGATGGTATGTGTTTGGGTGATTGATGTCATTATTGGCAGGGATGCGATGGATCGGTGTTGCTGGACGCAGTATCGCCTAATGATCAGAGCGAGAAGGACACCCCTCCAAACGTGACCTTAAGGCCAGAGGCGTTGCAGACTATTGAAGATCTTCGAGCTCTGATTCATAAGAAGTGTGGAAGAGTCGTCTCTTGCTCTGATCTCACTGTCCTTGCAGCTCGTGAAGCTGTCTTCTTGGTAATAATCTCCTTTCATCTTGCCATATATCAATTCTTAGTTCGCTTTTGGGTAATACTAATTGTATATACCGGTTTACTCAAATTAGGCTTTTTTTTTCAAAAAAAAAAAAAAAACTCTACATGCCCACAATTTTCTTAACATATATCTATTCATCAGTTGGTATAGGACGTATCTGATTCACTTTTTAGCAAAAGAACAATGTTTTAAAATAAATACGAGTTGGATATGCCATGATAATTTTTTTCCCACCAGTGCTTTTCTTCATTACATAATTTAAAAATGAAAGCAAAAGTAAATTGGAAAAGAAAAGAAAAGAAAAGAAAAGAAAGGCTGAAGAATCAAACAACGCATGATTAAGGTATCTGGCTCATAATGATGCTCTAAGGAAATGATGTCCTTGAAGGCTTAAAGAAGGAAAAGTGTAAGTCACGATAGTGGAGAAGCCACTGATTCAATATTGGGGTCCGATCCTGAAAAAGTACTTAAGAGGATTATTATATTTATTTTTCTTGAGTCTAAACTCTTATATTATTAATTTATTATCGTGTTGCCCGATTTAATGCCTTGCTTGAAGACATTAAAACCGTAAAAAATTGTTAAATTGTTTCCTTTGGATTTGATGATACAGTCCGGAGGGCCCAATTTTCCGGTACCACTAGGAAGGCGGGACAGTCTTAACTTCAGCGTCGCCGGAACCAACAACCTGCCGGGCCCATTCAGCTCCACCGGCGGCCTTCTCAGCGCTTTCGGTGACCAAAACTTCGATGCCACGGACGTCGTCGCTCTCTCCGGCGCCCACACCTTCGGCCGTTCCCACTGTGGCGCTTTCTTCGGCCGCATCTCCCCCACCGTCGATCGCACCATGGACTCTTCCTTCGCCGCCTCCCTGAAGGCCATTTGCCCCGCCGCCTCCTCCCCCAACACGGCCAACCTCGACGTCCGAACCCCCAACATCTTTGACAACCAGTACTACGTCGACCTCATGAACCGGCAAGGCCTCTTTGTCTCCGACCAGGATCTGTTCACTGATGCCAGAACCAAGAGCATCGTCGTCAGCTTCGCTAAGAATCAAAAGTTGTTCTTTGACAAGTTTTCTCAGGCCATGATCAAGATGAGTCAGCTGAGTGTGTTGACGGGGAAGCAAGGGGAGATTCGAAACAAGTGCTCCGCCACCAACGGCAGAAAGACGACGTCCTCTGTGTTGTCGGCGGTGGTGGAAGACGTTGAGGAGTTGACTCAGTTTTAAAAAAGATTAAGGTTTTCCTTTTGATTTTCACCATGTTTGATGTCTTCTTGTTGGCGAAGAAACCTTAAAAAACTAGTGGGTGCTCCTAGCTTTGATGATCTTGTGGTTTTCTCTTGGTCTTTGAACGTGTAATAATGGCCTAGTGCATGTACTGATCTATTGTTTGCTTTTGCAGAAATTTGGACTTAGCTTACTGTTTTTTTTTTTAAACTAAAAAAATTTTCGGAACCGACAAATTGAATATTATTAGTTATAAAATGATATATATCAAAACCTTTGATAATATATATATATATATATATATATATATCGAAACATGTTTTGGACTAGCTTTTATTTTCTCTTGAATTATCTTACGAGCCCAATATAGATAGATCTTTAATATATATATTATATAAAATTATTTTTTTTATAATTATCTAATTAATGATTTTATTTTATTTTTTAATGGATCTCACTCATCTTTTCTCTGTGTTCAATTCTCTCTCGGTCAGGTTATCTTTTATATTTTCATGGAATGTCATATTAATAGTTTAACTACCTCCAATCCTTAATATTAGAGTTACTAGATTAAAAAATTCTAACAAATCAGTTAATTATAACAAATGTGATATAATCTTCCTAAAATATCCTTATATAACATTCAAATATTCAATTATATCTCAATTTATAAGTTAGGTAAAAAAGTTTTAAAAAAATAATAATATGATGTACACATATGAATTAGGATTTTATATATTTTGGACCAAATACAACTCTCAAACTAGTTTTTATATTAAATACAATACTACTCTATTAAATGAAAATGGCTTTGGGGTCTGGATTGCTTAATTGCATAATTAAGGAGCCCACTTGTCCATTTACATATTAAGCACAGCCGAAAGCAAATAGCTTTAAAGTCTACTTTCTTAGATGCTTTCCAAAAAAAAAAAAGTCTACTTTTCTCAATCGTACAATTATATGGAAGGTTATGTTGCATTTGATGGATACCATTTTGAAATGTGAGAGCGGCATTATAGAGACAGTGGATTATATTATACTCCTCTGGTCCTTAATGTAAGACCCATTTAACTAATTTGATTAGATTAAGGAAGTTAGGTAAGTTAGTTAATTATAAGAAAAGTGACACATTTTTCCTAAAACACCATAATCATCTTTCTTAATACCCTATCTCCCTCTTCTACTTGATTATGGTTGAGGGAGTATTCATAAGGGTAATTTAGTAAAAATTGATAAATATGATAAATGGGTCTTATATTTAGGACCAAAATCAACTTAAGAATTGAGTCCTATATTAAGGACCGGAGGAGTATTATATTATAATGACCAAAATAATTTAAAAAAATGATAACAAGCTAGACTATTATACTTACAAGGTGGTATGTGAACCCCGCCTTCTTGTTAAATTTATCTTTAAGACCTTGCAATTCATGTGAGGTGGTGGGCATGGGTTTGCAATAAGTTTTTCCACGTCCCATTTCTTTGATATCCACTAGATCCAGTACTATTATTTCGTGTTCCCCTTTCCATTTTAAATCTATATCAGATAAATTGTGTTAGACTGGTAATTGGTTTGTGATGTTATTAAGGGTGGAGTTGCTATTTATTTTTCAGTCTTAATCATATAATATCTGAAACATCCTACCTTTAACCTTCAGAGTATGCGCTTGGAAGCAATTTATGAAGCAAGCCCGTGGATTGAAAATTCGTGACAAAATTGAAGCTTTTCCCCAAACTTTCAGTCTAGGTCACGACTTGAGTCCATAGAATGTCTGAGTTGCGACTTGGTACTTTCTAGTCATGACTTGAAGTCAAAGAGGTCATTTTTGCTTCTTGATCGCGGCCTCAACTTCCCAGGTTGCGACCTAGGGTCATAGAGAGCTTTCGGGTAATGTTCACTGAGTATTTTCCAGAATACAGGTTCAGCTTTGGGAGGGCATAACTCTTAGCACACACATCCTTTTTAAGTGATTTACTACTTGTTTTAAAGCTTGGGATGTGTACTTTGATGATGTCAAATTTTGTGCCTTAACTCATTCATTTGGTAGGTCAAACTGAAGCTAGAAACTGACTGGTCCAGGGCCTACGTTTTATCCATTAAACAATTCTTACTTTAATTCTCCCTTCATTCGAACATGCAACAACTAGCTTTATAGATTCCCATTCATTCATATACTTTGAGTTGCATGCCATTACATTATACATCAAACATTACATAACATTTCATGCTTGACATATCCACAATTAATTACATAATTAGCGATGTTAATCATTACATTGAAACACATGTAAATTCTCTACTTTCTTTGCGTCCATCTTCTTGCCCTTATTCATGCATGCCTTCTTTTTATCATTTGACCTACTATAATTGATTAAGGGAGGGTGAGATTCGAGAGAATCTCAGTAGCAAACAATAACCACCCAAACATACATGACAAGCTTGACATTTGTAACATGCTTGTAACTTAACATCTTTATAACATAATGACATGTTTGGCAATCATCATGCATTTATCATAAAACACATAGGCCTATGGAATATTTCAAACACATTCACAATCACAACACACATGAGTTCATAAAATCATATAACATAGAAACATGTCATACATGCAAGCAAATACCAAACACATAAAAGTAAGGTCAAGTTTGCTACCTTGTATCTTAAGCTTTCTTCTTACTCCCTTTTGCTTCCAACCATTAAGGTTACTTACTCAACCACATACAAACCTTCTCTTGGATGCATCAAGATCCTAATCACAACCACAAGGGTCACATTACTCATTAGAACTAAGAATTACACAACATGGGTGACTTATGTCCTTAAACTTTATCTCTTTTTCCTTAATTTATAATGTAGTGTTATAACTTTGTAAAAATTATTTCCTTAGGCCAATCCTACACAATTTTGCCCAAGAAATCCAAATATGAGCTTAGATTCATCAAAATCCAATTCCTTCCCCTGGTTCTAGGCCAAAACCGAAATCTGTCACTTAATTTTTAGTTTTGACTCCAATGCTTCCAACTTCATTCTTTCATCTTATCCCTACACAATTTTTCATTTTAAATACATTGGAAGCATCAAAATCATAAAAATCACATCCTAGGCACAAGAGCCAGGTCTAGTCGAAACATTTCCTCAAGTTACATAATCATGAAATTCAACCAATTTCAGCATCGAACCACTTGATTTGTGTTCCTTTCAAGTCTTTGAACATTATTCTAATATCAATTTCATCTTCTCCTATCCTTAACAATTTCGTGCAGCATGCCCCCCTATGGTTTCAAGCTCCTAAAAATCATTAAAATCCATAACCAAGCTCAATAACAATAAGGGTAGTGAAAACTACATCAAAAACCATGAACATACCTTGTTTTAGAGCTTAATCTTGCATGGGTTCACTTGGCCTTTCTCCCTCCTTCTTCTTTCTCTTTCTAGAATCCATTTTGCAAGAGCTTTCCCAAGATTTCCATGAGGTTAGGACGAAAATGAGGGAGGGGAGGGGGTATTTATAGAAAACAGGACTGAATCTTGGCCGTTGATCTTAAACAGGCTTGATCTAGACTGTCTATTTTCTCTTTTAATCTTACGGTAACAAGTGTCCTATGACATCATGCTTACATCATCGTGATGACATCATGCTTATATCATCAAGCCATATGTCCCCAATCCGGCCGTACACGTGTCTTGTATCCGACTGTACACGTGTCTTGCATCCAACCATACAAGTAATATCTTCTTTTCCCATCTAACTATACATTTGTCTCCTCCATATTTGTTCATTATTTTGGCATTAAAATAGGGAGGAAATTAATATAAAATTCGTGCAAAATACCACCCTTAGGCATTCCTCAACCTATCTTGCCATTCTACACCGTATATGGTACTTTTTCGGGTCCTGACTTTCCTGAGACCACTGGGACATGTTCTAGTACCATTTTCTTACCTCAAATAAATTCAAATAGCATTATATAACATGCCCAAAGAGAGAGTGATGCTCTTCCCTTATTCTTCCATTAAAATAATTAAAATAATTAATCATATTTACTTCAGAGTGAACTTCACCAAATTCTTTCTACCGGTCTACGACTCTGAGAATCTGTCTCTACGTACCAATACTATTTATTTATCACAGTGAAATTCCTCTAATTTTTCTTAAGTCAAAAGTCAACTTCTAGACATTTGACTTTGACTTTTCCTAGATAGTATGTAAACAGGCTTTAAATTCCATTAAAGCCGACCTCTTTGCTTTATGGGGACGAAATTATTTTTAAAACCTGTGATAATTCTTCAAGTATTTTTTCCCATTTCCTTCCAATTATCTGAGGCCTCTCTATACTTTAAATAATTCATTTTCAATAATATCCAAAATCAGTCAAAACCCTGGGAATTTCACAAATTCCTTCCAAGGGCATTTTCATCATTTTTCACCTCATACAGGCCTTTGGATCCTATTCCTATTTTTATGAAATTTTTCTAAGCTATTCAGGCTTTAACCTATCATTTCCCATTTTCTAGGATTTTCAAGCATAATTTTTATTTTTGCCCTTATCAGCCCAAAACTTTGCAAAATTACAGTTTTGCCTCTGGTTGGGTTTAACCTCAAAATTCACCTCCTTGAGGCCTCCAACATAATCTTTGGCCTATATTTATCTCTATTTCTTATTCCTAGGCCTCGAGACTTCTTCTAAGCCTCTAACTTCCTCTTTTCTCTATCCCAGAAAACTTTCCCTTTGCGATTTAGTCCTTAGGAATCCTACTGTCCTTTTAGGGAATCTCTGGCATCTTTGCCAAAAAGGGTTTGGTAGCCTGCCCATTTCAGGCTAACTTCAGTACGTCTAGCCTCAAAATTCGAGATGTGACAATATCAATGGTATGATATAGATGAAATTTGAAGATTTCTCTCAAAAATCCCCAATGCCTTTGAAGCAACTTTTTTTCATGTGGAAGTTACTCCATAATGCTCTGCCTACTTGTGATATCCTCCAAAGACATTATCTTAACACTTCTGGTCTTTGTCTCTTTGGTTGTGATTATGAAGAATCTTTGGAGCATCTATTCATTCCTTGTCCATTCACATGATCACTCTGGTTTGGATGCCTACTAATTATAGTTTGTCAATAACTTTTCTAAATTTCAAATCATGGCTAAAATAAAGATACATTGTTGTAGCTTAACCAAGATGGATGCAATCCTAT